GACGACTTGGATGGGAATTTACCAGTGCGATGAAACGCAACTTTCACCAGGGCAAGGACAAGAGAGAATTTATATTTATAAGAGAAATTTCATAGAGAATAAGAATTCAGAGGCAAGGAGTTTAATGAGGACAAGAGGGTCGCAAGACAAACGAATTGAACGAGACGATTTGGCTAGGATCTTGGCCGACCAAGCAGACGAGTACGCATATAGACACAGCAGATGAAACGGACCAAATGGCTACCTTGTAATTATTCATAATAATAATTGCATCAATGTCACAGGAAACGTGCTCCTACAAGCACAGGACATCCCCCAGTCATGCATGTGTACTTAGTAGGAAAGTGATGTATCCAGACCCATCTAATGATTATATTCCCCCTACGTCAGCGATGCTGACTCGCCAGGCGTTGGTATAGCACTCGAAAGCTTCTGCACCACGTCGTTCTTGAGTGCAACAAGTGAGTCCCACATGCCCTTATTCTCCATATTCGCAGCTACCAACGCGATCAGAGCCGCACCCACTCCGCTTCCATCCTGGGCGAGCCCGATGCGGATCCGCTGCGCGCCCTCGGGGCCGATGCCCTCGATGATGCCGAAAGCCTCGTTGATCATTTCTCGGAATTTGGGGTAGAATTCCACAAGACTGCCGTCAGCTCCAATGTCCAGGGGCTCGTCGGTGTTCTCCTTGAGTTTTCCGCTCTGGACGACGATACCGCCCAAAGCCACGGCCGAGAGTCTCGCCGCACGGCGGCCGACGGCGTAGGATATGTCCTTGAAAGCCTGCGCCTCTTCTACTGAAGGGGAGCGTATATGGAGCTGTGACTCGAGCTCCTTCCGCAGCTGCGACAGCTCAGGTGTGATATCAGCCGCCGCAATCGACATCAGCGCGCTGTCAAGACCCCATTGTTTGAATAATTCTGAGTCGGTGCCAACTCTTGTTGAAAATTTCGTGTCGCCAGAATTGGCGTCCTTAAATAGCGAAACCTTGGGACTGTCGCATAGGTCAACAATGGCTAGGCGGACGATTTCTCCCAGGAACATTCCAGACACCCTCTTCTCAAATATCTGTATACCGGGGTTGACGCTATCGCGGTCCAATTTAGCATCGTATGGGGTGTTGGGTAATACGTTGAGCTGGTTGTCAAATGAACCCCATTCGGTGTTGATGACCATGTCGCCCGTTGACTTGTCATAATCGCCGTCCACCGACTTTTGCAGGTTTGCTATCTTCTCGACGTAGGCACCGTTTGTTCCGGTTCCGAATATGGCGCCGATGAGTGTGCCAGTCTTGCCGGGTGAGGCGTACGAGCGTGCCATCAGGGTGCCCACTGTATCATTGACCAAGGCTGCTACCTTGACGGGGAGATGGAGGAGGTCGATCTCTTCTTGTAATAAGGCACAGACATCCTTGCCGACTGCATCAGGAATGTCGAATCCTTTCGTCCATCTTATTAGGGAGCCTTTGTTGATTCCGAATTGTTGAACCGGGAAGCTGAATGTGAAACCGAGTTGGAACAGGTGCACCTCTTCGTATCCTTCGGCTGCCTGTGAATTCTTCCGCCGACGAATGGATTCTGCAAAGTGTTCCTCGTGGTGCTCTTTTAGGAAGAGCTCAATTTGTTTCGCCAGGAAGCTGAATAGCTCCTTGGATGTTTTGGCAACCATCAACTCCTTTGGGATAGCGACCTTGTTGAATGTGAGGTCGAAGGTAGTGTCGCCATTGAGGTGGACTGAGCAGACTCGAAAGTTGGTGCCTCCAGATCGACAGCCATATATAATCCCTACATGACCTGTTAGTGCCAAATAAGATTCCCAGATGACAGGGTGGGTGAGTGAGAGTACCTTCTCGGTGCCGTTTGGCACACCGGTGACATAGGTCGGGATCTGGCTTAAGCTCGTGCCATCTTTCTGCAGCCCCTCGTCTACCAGGAACGTTAGCATGCAACTCCAGGAACAATCATGTTTGATGGGTTTGTTGGACGCACTCATCTGGCGCAGAAATTCCTGCACACCCTTGTTGACGTCGTCATCGGTGTATTCGAACTGCGCGACGATGCGTTTCGTCTCTTCTACCAGAGAGTTCGTCATGGTGAGGGCGGGGGTGGTCGGCGGCGAGGTCGCAAATGGGTGTGGACTTTCACAAACGGCACCTTCAACGATAGCGGCCGGAGGAGAGGAGAATGTGCGCTGGAAAGGATGCGACGTGAATATATGAAAATACTGGACTTTGATATCCGCGAGACAGAGTTGGACAACCTGGTTTGGAGGGGCAATCAGCAAGGATAGGGTACGTAGGTAGATAAAATGCGTTTGCGCCGAGTACTATGTCATGCATGCGACCCAGCCGAGAAAGCTACGTGCTGCGGGAGCCCAGACTAGATATAGATAGCCCCAGTGAGATCCCTAGGCAAGAAGAAAAAAACAGAACGGCACGGCCCTTGTGGCTGTACGACTTACCAAGACAGAGCCAGGAAAAGTGCGGAGAATAGGTATATTAAAGTGGGAGTAGGCTGCTGGACGGCTGCGTTCTTTGAGGGCTGTCTCTGTCTCACTTCACTCAGGCGCTGTTCCTCGGTTGTCAAAGACGCGGACGAACGTGAGGGGCTCGAGGGGCTACGGACGCGACCATCATCATCAGCTCTGGCGCCGAAGCGCCAGGCTGGCACGAGCTGGGACCAAATGCTGGGAGCCACGGCGGTTTTCGCGGGGTTATTAGCGGGGTCGAGCCCGTTGCCTCACTATCGTCCTGCGATTCGATCAGGGGGAAAAGCTTCCACGGCCAACAGCAGCCACGAGAGACCCCAGTAACGGACCGAGAATGACGGTTGATGCCAGGGGATAGCCAGCAAGACACGGGCGCTGCAGCGACGAAAAGGTCGCAATATGACCGGCACAGCGCTCTAGAACGGCCCGTCGCAGAGCTAGGCAGATGGGTCCGTTCTGCGGGCTATTCTGCTAGCAAGTGCTATGAGGTCATCGACGGTCCACCCTGGCGTGGTCTGAGTATAGATCTGAATGGAGTAGGCCGGCGCAGACCTGGAGTCCTGGTCAGAGATCCGGGGCGTGAACGAAGACGACGAAGACAGGGGTGAACAGAGCCCGGCTCGGCTCCGGACAGAGAATGTACCAATTGAGATGTCCAATTGAAAAAGAGGGATGCCGGAGCCTCCAATTTCATGAACGATGAGGTATATCAATTGCGGTCACCAGTACTGTACAGCACTTACTTGATCATACCATACAGCAAGCGACCCGCCCGCCTGGCTGACTCGTAGGGTTGCGTTGGATGTTGCTTACTTAGGTAAGTAAGTATCAATGGGGCGTTGAAAGATAGGCCACCCGGCACCAGGACCAAATACAGGCTTGAGGATACAAAAAAACGACCTCGGGAGTATCGTGACGAGGAACAGAGGCGGTGACACGGATTCAGTTGACAGAAGTAGATGCTCAGATGAAACATGTACAGGAGAAGCGAAAGCCAGAAGTGGAGACACTGGGCAGTCTATCTGGCCCGACTAGAACCTGCAGATGCAGACGAGAAGCAGCACTAACACCGTTCGTTCCTGCCGTATCAGAACTATTCGGTATTAGAAAAAAGCAGCTCGGCAACGGCGATGGACAGCGAGCCTTGGAAGTGGAAGGTGCTGCTTTAGCTGCCGTGGCTGCCCCAATTCATGTACTCATACCCAGAAACAACATCACACCGTGTTTGCAAGTCCTTGGAGACCCAGTGCCTGTCCTCGATTGGTGTACAAAAGAAACATGGCGCATTCTTCTTGATCTTCCCCTTCCCTTCGTATTATGAAGACAGCATCACCATTCCCTGTTTTACAATAATTCGTACACTGTCCCCGAACATTACAACCAAAGGTTCAATAGTGATCTTCTGGTGTGTGTCGCTGCACTTGGCAACCTTTGGAATTGCAGTCTTCGTCACAACAAGACCAGATGAACCCTTCCGGCCACTCTTCCCGTCGCCAATCAGTATAAACATCAATGTCTGGGCCTATACCATACTGAACGTCGTCGTCGTCTGGGAAGACCTCTGGGTCGATGTCGAGCATGCCTAGAAAGATAGCGTAAGTTCGCATACAATATAGTCGCACTTGTTAGGTATCTGACCTGGGTGCGTCATGCATGCTGTATCGTCGTTAAGCGTGACGTCGTATGTCTTCTCGCATTTCTTACATCTCTCGAACCTCGCTATCGGCGTGTCTTCGCTCTTCTTTTGTTTCTTGCTCGCCTTCTGGGCATCGTCATCCGATGTATCAGAAAGTTCTATAACATCGCGCTTCCGCGAGGTCAGCATCCGCTGTATTGCTTCCTTGCGGCACTCTTCTGATCCTTGGCACATAGACTTCAGGACCATACGTAATGTGATGTCGTCCGAATTGTCAATGACGCGTTCAAGCAGCGCATTTTGATCGGTTGTCGTTGCCATGGTGTTCCGCGTGAGAAGCAACGCGTCAGAAACATTGAGGTTTAGTAGATTGAGACTGGCGTGACTGGGTACTATATATAGAGACTACTATGGCCCAGATCAGCCATAATGTAACACCCTCAAACGGACCAGGATCAATTGAGTATGCCACTAAAACATTGATCGTTGGCCATGGTGAATATTTTCTTCCTATTTGTTTTTCCCAACAGTATGTTTGTTAAGGTATGGATACATGGCTATCTAAGTACTAATACTGCCCAATGTGTAAGTGTTCAAGCGCGAATACGTAGGATGAGCAGGCGAAAAGAATAGGAAAAAACATACACTAGGAGGTATCAACCGCGAGAAAATTTAGATACCAAATGAAAGAGAAAACAACTTAAAATGTGATGACCCAATACTATGCTTTTGAATGTAAGTAATGATCGAAAATAAAAAAAAGAGAAAAAGATGGGTTGCAACTCTCAGTTGAACTGAGAGGCATCAGGAATTGAGCCCGATGCGGGGGTCGAACCTAGCACTAGGGTTAGTAACAGGCAAGTGAGAATTTTTTTTTCTCCGAGTGCAAGCTTACCCGCAACCTTGAGATTAAGAGTCTCACGCTCTACCGATTGAGCTAACCGGGCGTTTGTTGGTTGTTGCAGCTGGGTACAAATTTAGTTTATATCTTAGAGAGTGGAGAGGTTGGTTGGTTCCCAGGTCAACCTTGTGACCTACCACCACACACCACAGCTGCTCTTTTTTTGCTTCCATGCCTAGGTAGGTCGAATATAGCTCAGTCACCGACTCCGTCTTCCACTTGAAGTTCACAATGCATGGACGAAACTGGTATGTCACCATGCAAATTACATGCGTTTAAGCACTGCACATCTCGTGGCTATAACGCCAGCCCCAGGCCATTCCACCTCATGCGTTGGGATAGATGAATGCCTAGTCTATGTTGCTTTGCGAATGGGTGGATGATTTGGCTCGATATCAATTTCTTCTCATACATTTGCAACCTTACCTTCCTTTCAACTGTTTCCAAGCTCTCCTCCCTCTAAGGATAGACGGGGCTTGATTCCCAATTTCTTAGATTTACCATTGTACCCAACATAAACTGGTCTTTAAACCTTCGATAAGCAAGCACTATAAGAGACTCGCCTGGCTTTTAAGTATGTCTTACCGAATCCTAGTTCGTCAGAAGGTCCGGACCCCAGCCTCGAGACAACAACGCATACGACAAAGCCAACCGAGAGATGCGGGGAATACGTTCAATTACCGTGATGAGTTCAGGCATCGATTATATACGACGATAGATCGTAGCCACTCTTAAAGACATGGACATAGCAGAGTCTTCCTGAACTGTAAAAAGGTTACAGATCGAAAATACTATGCTTGGAAGAGACACTCTAGTTAGTGGAGGAGCCGATTTGCAAGATTGATCTTGGGCTGACGCAACAGCTATATGCACAGTGTTGTTTTATCTCCTTCGATGTGTAGTGTACTTCTATTTATATCGACCAGCATCAGGATAACAAGAAAACACATGCTTGATCGTCGCTGTCCAAAATATAGATGATTGAATACACACTTGGTTAATACCCACGATGCCTCCTAAGTTACCAACATTCTATATTTGGCTGTGACCTTTACCTGACCAACTACCTCATTTGCTAATATGTGCGCAATGTTTATTGATCGTATCTGATCAAGGGCTCTTTATCTGCTGAGTAAGTTCAAAATGCTTTAGTGAATAGAAACCTACTGTGATCGACCATTCAGAAACCACTCGAATCAAGTATATGATCTTGTTTATATGACCAAGCTGGCTCTGCACATCTAACTTATCCTGGGTCTGTGCCTGGATGCTCACTGATAGATGGCCGGTGAGACAAGACGGATTGATCTCATAAGTATTGCTCCCCAAGCGAGAGCTCGTATATCATCTAAGGAGATGAAGTTACAACATGTATTGGGGCGATCTTGCGGCGGCTCCTCAACGGAATATTTGGTTTTGACATCTGTTCATCACTTTGATCCCTGTTAACCCGCTATGTACACTGATTGTACACATTACAAACGCTACTACGGTCTCCCTTCGTCAATCATCGTCTCCGAGATCGACCCCTCGGTCAACACACATCTGCAAGAGCAGGGAGAAAACGAGGTGTTTAGGCACTCGGGCGGCTGGTCCGTACGAGCCCTGCTTTCCAGTATCCAAAGTCTGAAAGGTCAGTCTTAACACATATTCTTGAGGCATGTGAGTAAAGAGTCGTATCTTCGAGCGGCTTGATATATAAATCATTGCCAATTCAAGAATCCAATATGCAAGTGTCTATCATAAAGTACTTGAGATTGCAGAGTACCCATAGTGCTACACATACTGCGGGGGCTACATCTGTCAACGAGGCCGTCGGGCTGAGTTGAGATATGATATCTTCAATGAATCCATACACCCTCATGAAGTTCTATATCAACATTCTCCAAGTGTACACATATTGACAGTACCTACCAGGGTGTAGCATCTAACCCCTCAAAAAGCGTAATCAGCATGTAAACAGAAATACGTATGGAAATGCTGAATACATGCCAGACAATAAAATGCCGGTAGCACAAGTCTTCATCGTGGGCGCACGAAACTTTGAGCTGATTCTGTATCTCTCTATTGCGGCGCGCAGGACGGTATTGGCTGACGAGCGATCTAGCAGGGGAATATAGGGGCCGAGGTTTGGAAGCTACAGTAAAAGGAACACATTCGGTGCTCATATGGAGGACAATACCTACCATAAAAATCAATCACCATTGGGCGGGTTCGGTGTCACGTTTTCCCCCAAGTTTCAAGCATGTTGGGGATGCAGTCTGAGGGGAACTCGTGACGGACTCGCATGTTTTCAAATACTAGATGTTTTCTTGACATTGTGAGCACAGTCTAGCAACCCCCCTCAAAGTATTTGCGATCATTTCTGACACGGCAATGGGGCCGTCGTTTTCGTGCTCCAGGGAATCGCATAGCAGTGAGTACGTTGGTAGCTACTTAGGTACATGCAATTATGAGATGCATGTTGGTTCTGTAAGGTGCTGATCGGATACGACGTTGACGGGATCGCCGACTGGACATCACTCGCCCAGGTATTCCCGTCGTGCTTCTCCCGTAAGCAGCCACATTGGTAGACGAGACGTGAAACGTGGTTAGTCTTGGCCTTGAAACAACAGGGCTACTTACTTAATACATGAGCAAGCGCACCACACAACTGTAGAATGTATATGCTGTTGGCTTCTCAGAAGCCAACCATACATACACAACATATTCGCATTCAGACCCGTCTCATCTCATACGTATATATACAGAGCTCTGTACATAGGTACGGAGTACAAAATAAACTACAATCATTTCAAATATGTCAGCTTGAACCCCCGGATTCTTGCAGCTCCGTGCGGCTATCGAGGCTCCGATTCAACACACCCAATTCCATGTGGCCTCGGGACCTATTGAACGCCTGCAGGTAATCCGACTGATTGGGGGCCATCAAGCAACCTCCCACCTTAATCTACGGTAGGCACGCTCCGTATCAATTGATTCAAGAGCAGACTAACATCAAGGAGTGCCCAGCCTTTGGAGTATCGCTGCGCATTTCGTCATAGCCGCCGGCTTCAGACCAACGGCATATTTAAACTCTCAACTAAGAGAAGCTATTCCTTCGCCCTAATTCTATTCAACTTGATTCGATATCGGTAGCTACCGGCACTTTAGGAGGGCAGTTAGTCTTCTTTATGGAGATATTCAGCTAGCAGTGCATATATCTGTATGGATTTGCACATTGGTGGGTGGGCACACACCATGATTAGTGCTTGGTGTATGTGTATCGTTGGGGCTGAGTTGGTGGGCTGAGCCTCGACACCCACTTCCCCATAACTTCATGGCCACGAGCGAAGCCTTCTAAGAATTGCGCACTAGGAAGCATGTTGATCAATAATCCTCGGTTTTCATCTACATAGGTAGCTCCTGTGGGGCAGCGCTTGTATGTCGTCTTCGATTGATCAATCTGCGCTCAATTAGATCGACCTTTCCTTGCTGTCATACAGTTAGCAACAAAATCTTCAAAGTTGCTCACTTAGACAAACTGGCAAGTAGATTTTTTGAAGGCACATGCTAAACGCATGGCGGGGTTCGCATCAAATATTGAAACTGCGGTAGCTCAACAACACTGAGAGCGGTGAATGCCTTAGGTATGATTGATCGTGCCGACCATCGTAAGTTTTATTGGACGGGATGGATTGTCTAAGGCAACAAAGGGTTCGCTTGGTAGACTATTCTCTAATCTACCTACACTAGTGTTTACTTACACCGCGAGTTTTATTTATTTCCCCAATGTGCGGGTAATGGCGGTGACATAGCGGAGCCTTCGAATATGTATGCCGATGATCATGAGCGGAAAGCTGGTGGCGTTGATATGAAGTTATACATTATGGCCAGGCCTTGCCAGATTTCAGATATATCGTAAAAAGGCGAAAGGGACAAACGCCAGCGCCATCTAGCTGTTATCATCGAGCAATCACCACGAAGACACCAGTTGGCTTAACCATCTTCCACTATCGCATAACAAAGTCCCCGGACGTCATGGATTCTACAGATAAATCACTAAACAGTAGTTTGCTTTACGAACAAATCCATTGACTTTCCCAAGTTTTGTATTTCTTTTACTTGTATTAGATGTCTTCTACTATACCTAGGCACGGGCTAGGCAGGGTTGGCAAATTAGTGACTAATGTGTAGTACGGGCACGTACTAATTGTAGTATTAGTACCAAATTTTTTTGCATACTAATTATAGTACTAGCCTATACTAATACTATAATTAGTATGCAAAAAAAATTTGGTACTA